TGGTTCCCCCAAACCGACGAAAGAACTGCCGAATGATGACCACCTATAGTCTGGCGTGTGTCTCCAATTAACTTGCAGTTTCTGTGGTTAACCGCAGTATAATCACTTATCCCAAGGTGGTCGCAGTTCGAATGCCGAACAGGCCATCTTTTAACTATAAGATAAGGCTAGGGACTAATGAAAGTATTTAGAAAATTGGGCAGACTAGATGGGCTGAATGGTTCTTATCTGCCGTCACATTCTATGTTTCTGTCAGAGTACAGAATATTTGATAGAGTCCTGTGGCAAACCTAGCCACTTGGACTATAACCAGAGACTATGCCTTTAAGGGTTGCCTATAGGTATGGGGAGATATGTGCTTTACTCTGTATGTGTATGCTATATGTATTTTCTGCATTGCCTGTATTTGTCTTTTTTGCCGAATGCAAATGGCGGTTTGTATGGGGATTTTCTTTCGTTTCACGAACAGCACTTTGAAGGGCCGTTCGTGAACCGAACGCAATACCCCTAATAGCCCACACACTTAGAGGCGTGTGGCGCTGGTTAACCGATTGCAACATTCGGGATGAAGAACGCCCCCGCGACCTTCCAGCGGATGGTGGATCGGCTACTGGACAGGTTCCAGGATTATGCGTGTGCATACCTGGATGATATTGCCATCTACAGTCAGACCTGGTCGGATCACCTACAACATATAGGGGCTGTAATAGATCGGATCCGGGAGGCAGGGCTTACCTTGAAGCCCAGCAAATGCCACATAGGGATGGCAGAGGTCCAATACTTAGGACACCGGGTTGGTAGCGGGCAACAGAAGCCTGAGCCCGCAAAGATTGAAGCTGTAGCCCAGTGGCCTACCCCTAGGACCAAAACCCAAGTCCTTGCTTTTTTAGGTACCGCCGGGTATTATAGAAAATTTGTGCCCAATTACAGTGCCCTGGCCAAACCCCTGACAAACTTAACGAAGAAAAACCTGCCCAGGCAGGTCATCTGGGCCCCAGAGTGTGAACAGGCATTCAACCAACTGAAGACGGCTCTGACCAATGCCCCTGTGCTGGCTGCTCCTGATCCAACTAAACGTTTTCTTGTCCACACAGACGTCTCCATGTTTGGATTGGGAGCAGTACTGAGCCAGGTCGGAGCCGATGGCGGAGAACATCCCGTAGCCTATTTGAGTCGGAAATTGTTACCCCGAGAAGTGAGCTACGCCGCCATAGAAAAAGAATGCCTGGCCGTGGTGTGGGCCCTGAAAAAGTTACAGCCATATCTCTATGGGCAACCCTTTTCTTTGCTCACAGATCACAACCCGTTGGTATGGCTAAACCGTGTGGCTGGAGACAATGCCAGGCTGCTGCGCTGGAGTTTGGCGCTGCAGCCCTTTGACTTTACGATCCATTATCGCCCAGGGAAACAAAACGGTAACGCCGACGGGTTATCCAGACAAACAGACCTTGAGAAGTGATCTGTGAGCGCTCCTCCGGACATCCCCAAGCCGATCCGTTGGGATCAGACTGTGTATGCCGGCTTGGTTCTGGGGGAGCATTGTGGCAAACCTAGCCACTTGGACTATAACCAGAGACTATGCCTTTAAGGGTTGCCTATAGGTATGGGGAGATATGTGCTTTACTCTGTATGTGTATGCTATATGTATTTTCTGCATTGCCTGTATTTGTCTTTTTTGCCGAATGCAAATGACGGTTTGTATGGGGATTTTCTTTCGTTTCACGAACAGCACTTTGAAGTGCCGTTCGTGAACCGAACGCAATACCCCTAATAGCCCACACACTTAGAGGCGTGTGGCGCTGGTTAACCGATTGCAACAATGTTGCAATTGGTAATTAGAGGCTCTCCTGGGTGGCCGTCGTTCGACTACCGACCATGCAGCGGTCGGCCATCTTGGATCCTTTGTTCCCTCAGCGGTGTTAGGTCGTCGAGCGCATGGTACTAAAAACGGCTACTCGACGGTACGAGCACCGCTGAGCTTCCAGGACATTCGGGAGTTTCGGGCCATTCGGGTTTTTGTTCCCTGAAAGCAATCGGTCCTTTTCATATGTTTTATAAGCGACGGGATCCAACTCTACAGCCGAATACAGCGCATTCGAATGAAAGGAACAACCGAACGGAAAAAGGGAAAGGCAATTCGTATGAAACAAGCAGACGAAAGCGATCAGTGAATGGGGACGGATTACACGGCGTTAAAGAGGCAGACGCTAAAGGAACTGCTGGAGGCTAGAGGAAAAAGCGCTAGCAACAAATCTAAAGCAGTACTCATTGCAGAGCTGATGGAAGGCGACCAAGCACACAGCAGTCCAACCCCACCGGCCAGGGAGGAAACACCGTATCAGAGGGAACTAAGGACTGGTTGGAATTTGTACCCCAGCCAGTACCCCTGGACATATTGACCGTACTGATGGCAGACGTCCAGGACTACATTATGGCACAGCAACCTCCGGGGGCACCCTCCAGGGCAGAATCCATCGCCAACTCATTCTGCACTCCAGTAAAGCAGAAAATACCGTAACAGGCATTTAAAGCATTCTGCGAAGAGAAGGATGAGATAGACGGATACCTGCAGGATTTCGAGCGGTTATGCGACCTACACGACCTGGAGCAGGCGATGTGGGTACCCCTACTGGCAGGCAAGTTGGCAGGACGAGCAGCAGAGGCTTATCGTGCTGTACCCAGAGAGGACAGCAAGGACTATTTTAAAGTGAAAAGGGCGATTCTAGAAAGGTATGCCATAACCCCAGAGGCATACCAGCGAAAATTTCGGGGATTGAAAAAGCCCGAAAGAGATTCACACGCAGAGTGGGCGCATAAGCTTGACCAAGCCTCACAAGGGTGGATTCAGGCAAGCCAAGCCACCACCATGGAGGGACTGCGCCAACTCATTCTGCTGGAGCAGTTCTTTAACGGCCTGTCACCAGAGGCACAAGAGTGGGTAAGGGACAGAAAACCTCTCACCCTCACAGCGGCCGCCCGACTGGCAGATGAACACTTTGATGCCCGGAGGCACCATGGGCTCACCCACAGGGGCCCTCTGAGACCGCCAGTGCAACATCACCCGACCATCTCCACACCTGCCAACCCTACCCCATTCAGGCCAGCACCAGGGAACCCCCCACCACCATCCCGCTACAATGGCAGAGCCAACATCCAATGCCATACCTGCCGGCAGTGGGGACATATGTCCCGGGAGTGCACCCAGAATCGGAGCAGGCAGGCGTGGAACCAGGTATGGCAGAACTCCGCTCCGAGGGCGGCGGCCCATTTTTACCACATGGAACCTGACCAATCGGAGCTGGCAAGTCTACAAACCGAGGAACCGTTGGGGGTTCTATATGAAGTGATGTCTGTGCAAGCCACGGACAACAGGCAGCATCACCGCCAAGTTGTGGTTGTGGGGGGGAAAGAAGTACAGGGGCTGAGGGACTCGGGAGCCACCTTGACCCTAGTGGCACCACATTTAGTTCCAGATGTGGCCCACACTGGCGGATCAGTGGCGGTCCGGGTAGCAGGGGGAGCCATGTACCGGTTACCCACTGCCAAGGTGCATTTGAACTGGGGTGCTGGGGAGGGGGTTGTAGAGGTGGCAATAATGAAGAAGTTACCGGCAGATGTTGTTTTGGGGAATGACTTGGGCCAGATGACTTCCGCTTTCCTACCCCAGGCCCCTTCACAAGAGGCTCACCCGGTAACTACACGGCAACAGGCTCGCACCACGGCATCACCAGCACACTCTGAGGCTCAGGTAAGAAACCATGACCCCCCCTTGACAAATATGACCTGGGACACCCCAACCACTTTTGAAGCCGAGGTTCAGACAGACCCCACACTGCAGGTGTACCGAGATAGGGTAGACACGGACCAGGTGGGGCGGGAGGGGGAACGGTATATTTGGGAAAATAAGTTACTGTACCGGGTGGCGGAAAGGGCAATAGGCAACTCTGTGACGCTCCAAACTAAGCAGCTGGTAGTACCCCAGAAGTATAGGCATGAGTTACTTAGAATAGCCCATGACATCCCTCTGTTCGGCCATTTAGGGATGACCCGGACCCGGTATCGATTAACACACGCTTTCTTTTGGCCTGGGATTTCTAAAGACGTAAGACACTATTGTACCTCCTGTGATGTGTGTCAGAGGGTAGGCAAGAGAGGGGATCGCCACAAGGCGAAACTATGTCCTCTACCTATAATTGAGGAACCGTTCAGCCGTGTAGCCGTAGGTATAGTGGGGCCACTACCAAAACCCAGCCCCTCTGGGAAGCGTTATATACTGACCGTGGTGGACTACGCCACCCGGTACCCCGAGGCGATTGCCTTAACCAATATCCACGCTGAGACCGTGGCCGAAGCCCTGATGAAAATATTCTCCCGAGTAGGGTTCCCATAGGAAATGGTCTCCGATAGGGGGACCCAATTCACGTCTGAGGTTACTCAGCAGTTATGGAGGATATGTGGCATTAAGCCAATCATTAACTCAGCCTACCACCCTCAATCCAATGGATTATATGAGAGGTTCAACGGTACCCTAAAACAGATGCTCCGGACATTCGGAGAGACCCATAAGGACTGGGAACGATTCCTTCCCCATCTGTTGTTTGCTTACAGAGAGGTACCCCAAGAGTCTACCGGTTTCTCCCCATTTGAACTGTTATTTGGGAGAAGGGTCTGAGGACCATTGGATCTCATTAGGGAGCATTGGGAGGGAGAGAGTAGCGCAGATGGGACCCCTATTGTACCATACGTGCTGGCGTTCCGGGATCGCCTGGAGGAATTAACCCAGGCAGTGCGCACCAACCTCCAAGCCGCCCAGCAACGACAGCGTCGTTGGTATGACAGAGGGGCCAGAGACCGTAGTTTTCAAGTGGGACAAAAGGTGTTAATTCTCAAACCGGTCCGCACCGATAAACTACAGGCCGTCTGGCAGGGCCCATACCAGGTGGTAGAGCAGAGATGCGATACCACCTATGTGATCGGCCCATGCTCCGGAGTAGGGAAGAGACGCATGCTCCATGTGAACATGCTCAAACCCTACCACGAGCGAACTGAGGACGTGGCAGCTATTTGCACGCCCGCCTCAGAAGATCAGGAGAACTTGCCTCTTCCAGATCTGTTAGAGCAGGAGGAGCAGAAGGAGCCCTCCCAGGGGGTTCAGCTGGGGGAGCGGCTAAGTCCTCAAGAGCGTACCCAGGTACAAGAACTGATAGCGACAAAGGGTGCCACCTTTTCTAACTTACCTGGGTACACTCCGCTAGCCACTCACCGAGTAGAAACCCCGGGACAGCTTCCTATGCGACAGACCCCATATCGGATTCCTGAATCCGTGCGGGAACATATGAGGAAGGAGATTGAAGAGATGTTGCAGTTGGGGGTTATCGAACACTCCGATAGCCCCTGGGCATCGCCGGTAGTCCTGGTTCCCAAGAAAGACAGTACCACCCGGTTCTGCGTGGACTACCGGAGGTTGAACGACAAAACCGTGTCGGACGCCTACCCGATGCCACGGATAGACGAACTGCTAGATAGGATGGCCAGGGGTCAGTATCTCACTACAATAGACCTTTGTAAGGGATACTGGCAAATTCCACTAGCCGAGGACGCCATCCCCAAGTCGGCGTTTGTCACCCCGTTTGGCTTGTACCAATTTCGAGTCATGCCATTCGGGATGAAGAACGCCCCCGCGACCTTCCAGCGGATGGTGGATCGGCTACTGGACGGGTTCCAGGATTATGCGTGTGCATACCTGGATGATATTGCCATCTACAGTCAGACCTGGTCGGATCACCTACAACATATAGGGGCTGTAATAGATCGGATCCGGGAGGCAGGGCTTACCTTGAAGCCCAGCAAATGCCACATAGGGATGGCAGAGGTCCAATACTTAGGACACCGGGTTGGTAGCGGGCAACAGAAGCCTGAGCCCGCAAAGATTGAAGCTGTAGCCCAGTGGCCTACCCCTAGGACCAAAACCCAAGTCCTTGCTTTTTTAGGTACCGCCGGGTATTATAGAAAATTTGTGCCCAATTACAGTGCCCTGGCCAAACCGCTGACTGACTTAACGAAGAAAAACCTGCCCAGGCAGGTCATCTGGGCCCCAGAGTGTGAACAGGCATTCAACCAACTGAAGACGGCTCTGACCAATGCCCCTGTACTGGCTGCTCCTGATCCAACTAAACGTTTTCTTGTCCACACAGACGCCTCCATGTTTGGATTGGGAGCAGTACTGAGCCAGGTCGGAGCCGATGGCGGAGAACATCCCGTAGCCTAATTGAGTCGGAAATTGTTACCCCGAGAAGTGAGCTACGCCGCCATAGAAAAAGAATGCCTGGCCGTGGTGTGGGCCCTGAAAAAGTTACAGCCATATCTCTATGGGCAACCCTTTTCTTTGCTCACAGATCACAACCCGTTGGTATAGCTAAACCGTGTGGCTGGAGACAATGCCAGGCTGCTGCGCTGGAGTTTGGCGCTGCAGCCCTTTGACTTTACGATCCATTATCGCCCAGGGAAACAAAACGGTAACGCCGACGGGTTATCCAGACAAACCGACCTTGAGAAATGATCTGTGAGCGCTCCTCCGGACATCCCCAAGCCGATCCGTTGGGATCAGACTGTGTATGCCGGCTTGGTTCTGGGGGAGCATTGTGGCAAACCTAGCCACTTGGACTATAACCAGAGACTGTGCCTTTAAGGGTTGCCTATAGGTATGGGGAGATATGTGCTTTACTCTGTATATGTATGCTATATGTATTTTCTGCATTGCCTGTATTTGTCTTTTTTGCCGAATGCAAATGGCGGTTTGTATGGGGATTTTCTTTCGTTTCACGAACGGCACTTTGGAGGGCCGTTCGTGAACCGAACGCAATACCCCTAATAGCCCACACACTTAGAGGCGTGTGGCGCTGGTTAACCGATTGCAACAATGTTGCAATCGGTAATTAGAGGCTCTCCTGGGTGGCCGTCGTTCGACTACCGACCATGCGGCGGTCGGCCATCTTGGATCCTTTGTTCCCTCAGCGGTGTTAGGTCGTCGAGCGCATGGTACTAAAAACGGCTACTCGACGGCACGAACACCGCTGAGCTTCCAGGACGTTCGGGAGTTTCGGGCCATTCGGGATTTTGTTCCCTGAAAGCAATCGGTCCTTTTCATATGTTTTATAAGAAATGTGTTTTTCGTGCGGCGTTCGGTTATTTTAGCTGGGATCTGAGCGGTAATCTCACGAATGATGCGCTCAGACCTCAGCTATCTACCGAACGTCCATTCGTGTAAATCCACCGTACATTCACCAAGTTACGGATTTTTGTGTAAATTGTCGGTTCTGCTGCACGAGGGGGTAATCCACTTAACGGTGTGTTCTGGGAGGAGGATCCCTCTCGTGCAGCAGTGCCTGATGGGAGAAATATGTTGTCATGTAAGTCCCCCATGTAGTCCCCTCTGGGAGTGCTCCTGGGAAGGGACTCAGGAAACCCCTTGCATGGGGACTTGTATAAATTGTCCAGCCGAATTAAAGGATTTCAGTTGACTCTCAGAACTGTGTCCAGTCCGGTTACTGGGAGGTTGGGGATATTGCCTTGTTGTTTCAGCGCTTGACTGTGGATTATTTCCTGAACCAGCGGAATTCGTGGATTTAATATTGGCGTTCCGCTACAAGTCCTAACCTCAACATATGAGGAAAGGGATTTAGGGGTGATTATTTCTATGTTTCTATCGTAAAACCCCTGGAACTATGATCGGCTACTGGTTTGCACAAATCCTGCTAAGGTACTGGTTGTCCCATCCGTTCGTGCAAAACCATACGAAAGCCATACAGACAAACTTTAATTTTGTGGCTTTCATACACAATTCGTGAGATCTGAGCGCAATTCGTAAATTCTGTGTGCTCAGATCAGAGCTGTCTGGAGAAGGGTCGAATAGGATGTTTTAGTATTAAAATATGAGTTATATATTTGTATGCGGTTTTCATATATGTAATAAAACGTGGGTATTTCATGGGCCTGAAGATAATTAGGTTAGGGTAACCGTTGGGACCAATTATCTCCAGGGTAGGGGGGAGTGTTTCCATAAGATGCACTTTATTCCTATTGGTTGGGACATTGCATTGTCCAGTGTACCATCAGGTCCAGGGGGGTTGTCCTGTGGCCTGAAAACTTGTATAAATTACTGTGCCAGAGTACCCATTAAACCAGTTCGTTTTACCCTCAACTCGCAGCTTCGACTCATGTGGTAGGGAAAGGTGTATCCTAGCTTTGGTATAGCTAGTGGGATGTTCTACATTTCCAGGAATTAATACTGTATGCTGATTGGAGCGGCGCTCTCACTCTCCAAATTCGGGAACCAGGATATCCAAGCAGTCCAACTTCCAGCTAGCCTGGAGGCAACCGTAACATTTGGTGGCAGTGGTGGGATCCCTGGAGTTCCTAGGAGAGATACAGAGCAGATGGAGATAAATGAAGCGCACCACCTTGAAGGATATACTAGAAAGCCGAGGTGGGAACGCAAGCAATCGTCCTAGGAGGGAGCTGATTGCAGAACTGACAGAACTGGATCAGAGCTTCACCATGGCAGAAACCCTGATGGTGGCTGGTGACGAAAAGACCAGGATGGTACGGGAGAGGCTCTCCTTGTTCGGGCCGAACCCCTCTATGGAGCTGATCCAGCAAACGATGGCTTAGGTAGATGCGGAGATACAAGCAGCCACAGCCCACAAACTCAGCCTGCTCGCTGCACAGCAAGGTCCCACAACAGCTCCGACGATCATCCCTGCAGAAACGACCAGGAGGTGAAAGATTCCCTATGCGGCTTTCCAACCTTTCTTGGAGAATGAGACGGGGATAGATGAGTATTTAGCAGACTTTGAGCGGCAGTGTACGCTTCACCAAATCCCCAGCGAGGATTGGCCCACTATATTGTCCGGGAAGCTGCATTTCGGACACTAATCCCAGAGGAGGTGACCCAATATGTGCGGGTTAAGGACACCTTACTGCAACGATACGCTGTAACCCCAGACACATATCACAGACAATTCAGGAACACCAAGAAAAAGCTAAATAACACTCACACCAAATGGGCCCATAGGATGCAAAGGGCGGCTACCCATTGGTTTCAAGGTTGCCAAGCCGTAACGGCTGAGGAGGTACAATGGCATGGGTACAATGAGGAGGTACAATGGCATGGACCAGCAAGGGAAGGAATGGCTTAGAGATCGCCGACCCACTACCCTAAACGAGGCGGCTAAGTTAGCCGATGAACATCACGATTCTCAATTACACGAATCATCCAACTACCGACCAGGGAAAGTTACCGAACACCAGCCTGGAACGACTTCAGAGCTCCTGTGCCAGCGGGGCCCACCCGGTAGTCAGGACCACCCAGCAGCAGCATCTCAGACCATCCCCGGCCAAGTTGTTATCGATGCAAACAGCCCGGGCAAGCTGCCCACTGAACAACCACTAAACCTTCCGGAGCTATAACCCTTCCTCTGGCCCTTTTCGATCCGCTAGGGCTATTTGTGTCAACTAGGAGGGTCCCATGGAGGAATACCTGGGACCCCTTCACGAGGCCCACCTAGTATATGCAGCCTCTGACAACCGCCAGCACCACAGGCAGAAAGTATGGCTCGAGGGTCACCCCACGGAGGGGCTAAGGGACACTGGCGCTACAATTACTTTGGTCCAGAACCACTTGATTCTGGAGCATAGGTGATCTTGTAGCAGACAGAGGGGGTCTCTGTAACAAATCTGTTAGGTCTATTCCTCATATAGTACCATTTTGTTTCATTCTTAATAATGGTTTATTCGCTTTCTCTAATAGCTGTTTTCTAATCTCCTCTTTAATCTGATCTATTTTGATTTTAACCAAATCAGATAAACTTGTATTAAATCCCCTTTTCAGTCTTTCCAATTGGATATACAAGTTCGATAACGGTTTATCATTTTTTTTCTCTGATATGCATCTAATTTGATTATTTGCCCTCTAATTACAGATTTATAAGTGCACCATACATTTGTGAGAGTTGTAACCCCTGTTAAGTTCTCTTTTAAAAAAAAAAAATCAGGGGGGCGGAGCTAGCATCCGACGGCAACGGTCGCTCTCTGCTTGAGCTCCGACAAACGGGCACGAAAAACGCCCTAATCCTGCTGAACATAGGGGTACAACACCCCCCAACAAGCCCCAGACAACTCTCCTTACGATGGGGAGAAAAACCAAGAAGCCCCGTCCGGATCGACCGAGATTCTGTGCCGATATCGGCGAC